GCAGGCACCTCTGCCCCTCTTTTTGACATTACATATAAGTAGGATCATACAACATGTGGTCATTTGTGTTCGGGCTATTTCACTTACCCTAATGTGTGTATAAAAGTTAAAAAAAAAATCAGCACCAAGAGCCAACTCTGAATGACAAAGAAAGACAGATTACTACCATGATTAGTAAACTCATAAATACTGGATGAGAACAGGCTCAAAGTGGCTATATAAACAGGTCCACAAAAAATAAGATCTAATAAATACTTCTGTAATAGTTTCCTTTGGAGACACTAAAGATTTCAAAAAAAAAAAAAAAAAAAGGAAAGAAAGAAAAAGAAACAGAAACAGAAAAGGTGAGTAGGAGACTACCAGAGGTTCTCTACCAAATACTATTTGTTAACCAGGCATACAAGAGGACAGGTTCTTCGTGGTCCTACAAGGGTGCCTTTTATAATTCTACCACCTCCCGTAAGTCTTCTTCAGACAATCTGCCTTCCAAACTCTGCTCATTCACTCTCTTCCTCATTAGGAAAACAAATACTTAACCATCAACTAGAGCTTCTAATTAGTCACTTATAAGCTGGTGACTTCATGCAAGACATTTCACTTCTGTAAGTGACTAAGCTGAGATTTAAACAGCTTCAAAAATAACTTCTAGACCACCATCAGTGCAGTGCCTTCAAGGGGAGCATGAAATAAGGGTTATGTAAGAAATGAAGCCAGCTCAGTCCTATTTTTGTAGCATATGTCATCATTTCCATTCCCCAGCGACAAACAGAAAACTAGTTTGAACACATCCTGCCTGTCCTTTGAAGCATCTTGTCAACTGCTTAGAGCTATCCCTCCCCATCTATGTTATACTAAGTTTAATCCAGGCCTCTCTCATACTGCACCTTGTAATGAATTTCCAACTATTCAATCTTAAGGGATGGGTCAAACCATCCCTTATATCTTCCTAGAGAGAAGGCTGAGACATGAACTGGGGTGGGGAATGGGAAGGGGGTGAGTAGTATGAAGGGGAACAGTGCATAACTGGAGACTCAGAGTAGGGAGATTTCTCGGGGGGACTCCAAAAGGGCCTGTTATCCTGGGTGACCCCAAAGGACCGTAGCTACTATATGTTGCAAAGGACAGGGGGTGCCTAGGTGGCTCAGTCAGTTAAGCGCCTGACTTCAGCTCAGGTCATCATCTCGCGGTTCATGGGTTTGAGCCCTGCATCGGGCTCTGTGCTGACAGTTCAGAACCTGGAGCCTGCTTTGGATTCTGTGTCTCGCTTTCTCTCTGCCCCTCCCCTGCTTGGGCTCTGTCACTCTCTGTCTCCCAAAAATAAATAAAACGTTAAAACAAAACAGAACAAAAAAATATGTTGCAAAGGACATCAGGTTCACTTCTAGCCACAGAACCACTAGCAGCTCTAGCTGCAGCGCAGGACTGAGCCAAACAAATTCAATTTAGTTTCTTACATGCCTTTCAATGGTGCATATCTTTAGCAAAATGCTTCCGCAAATCATATCTGAGTATATGGGTAATCTACATTCTCAGTGTCACTTTTCTTTACATTTCCTTACATATTTTCAGACTTAAATTTTATGGCTGTACGGCATGTGATAACAGATCCAGTGACAGGTAAAGGGGTTAATGCTGGGCCTGGTGGTAGGCCTGAAATAAATGTTAAGAGACGTAGGGATGAAGTATAGTGTAATAGTTAACACTGTGAAATCAGAGAGCTTGCTATATGACCATGAGCAAGTTATTTAAATCTCCAAACTTCAATTTCCCCAACCATAATATAATAATTGTATTCCATAGACTTCTGTGATAGAGGACTCTGAGGTCTGGCTGAGACCATGCATGTAAATGCTTAGCCTACCACCCCAAAAACACTCTATGATGGTTTGCTGTTACTGTCTAATCCCTTAACTAACTCCGCGGGTTAGGCGTTACCATCTCCATTTTATAGATGAGTAAGTTGTGGCACAGGTGGTAGCAGGATCAGAATCCCGAACTGCCCAACTCCAGATTTCAAGCTCTTCTACCACTTACTGGCTGACAAGGTCCCTCATTTTTTGTGATTCCAAGCTTGATGTTCCAAGGAAACAAATTCTAGGTCTTTGCCTAGTGATGATAAGACAAAGGAACCTCTATCATAGAAGAAAAGAAAGTGGCTACCAAGCTATCATAAAGGCCTGCACCAGGACTTAAAAAAAATTTTTTTATGATTATTCATTTTTGAAAGACAGAGAGACACAGAACACAAGCAGGGGTGGGGCGGAGAGAGAGGGGGACACAGAATCTGAAGCAGGCTCCATGCTCTGAGCTGTCAGCACAGAGCCCGACACGGGGCTCAAACTCACGAACCGCAAGATCATGACCTAAGCCGAAGTCGGATGCTCAACCAACTGAGCCACCCAGGTGCCCCCCCCCCCGACTTTTTTTTTTATGTTTATTCATTTGTGAAAGACAGAGAGACACAGAGCACAAGCAGGGGTGGGGCGGAGAGAGCTGCACCAGGACTTTAAAAACAGACTGGAAGACATGGGAAAATAGTTAGCAAGAAGAATCAGCAAAAGTAATTCCCAGCTTGTTTGTGGATAGAGTGGCATGGGAGAAATCAGAAGAGCTGATTGACAGCACAACTGTGTGAGTAGCCATTCTTGCCATTCCAGGCAATAAACATATGGAGTGTCTTTGTCGTTAAATTTGGGAATCCTAGCATTTCAACATCCATCTCTTAGAGATGTCTGCATATCAGAATAAAGGCAAAACTTAAACTCTGTCCTGCTGCTATTCAGAATAAGCATGTACATCACATGCCACAGCCAGGAAAACAAAGCAAAAAACACTTTTCACCTTCAGATAAATCCAAAACAGCTGAGCACCCTGTTAAGGCCTGGTCTCCCAAAATAAATGTCCTATCTTGGACATTTCCTGTGAGTTACCAATGTCTGGAGATAAGACTTTTGTGAAGATAATACAATGTGAGAAGCTTTTCCACCATGAAACACTAATGCGAACTTGGTACTCTAGGTAATACTGCAGTTTCTTTTCATTTAAATGTGTTCTAGTTTTTTATCTGGTGACGCAGTCCTTGCGAGATTGGACTCCCTCACACCCTTTTGCAAGTAAACTTCTTTTACTTTCTATATATTTTTACGTGCATTTTCCTTACATAGACACATATGAATAGCTTTAAAAATTCCTGTAGTGAAGAAACTTTATCATTTCCCAAATTTATTTGGATGTCATCGGGTCAATGAGCGCATGGACTCCGATGCCACACCTTGGCCACTTAGAAGCTGAATGACCTCAGGCAATCACTTCAGTGCACAGGCTTGGTTTCACAATCTGTGGAACAGTGAGGGTTGCTGGGTTACAGGCGATGTGGCCGTTAGAGCACCCAGCGCATTTTAAGGGCTCCACCAAACATCAGTACTTGAACAGAAGTGATCCCTTTCCAACATTCCAACCCACTCTTGAGTTTATATGCAACAACATCCTGCAGGATGCCCCTGTTAAATTAAATTAAATTAAATTAAAGCTTTCAGGTTAGGCCATCTCAGTGCAGAAGGAAAAAAAACAAGATGATCTTGATTTAAGTTTTTGCTCCTGCATTTAGATGTGAAGTTAGGAGTAAGTTCCAAGTCCTTCTCTGTAAAACTAGATACTATAAAGAGTTAAAATTCAATTATAAAGCATTACACAAATGTGTACTCTTTTGTGGACACATCTTAAGAAGAGTAACCAAAATCTGCTTTACAATTACGCACAACGCTTGCTTCATACAAATAAAAATGAACACAAACAGGTCTCACAAAAGATATTTCTAACACAGATAACCTATTTTCTGTAGACACTGAGTGCAAATTTCTGACTACTGCTTCATATAAGCCATGGCCTTGGATAAACTGGTTGAACAGTTAATACATATTAATACTAACTGAAAACTTTTTACATAGTCCCTTCTCAATTATTCATGCTAATTAAGAAGTAACAACATAGATGAGAATTTAATAAACTGTTCATTACATAATCAAACTATACAACTGATTTTGGGGGGCAATGTTTCCCACACACTGAAACCAGTTATTAAAATTTGTACTGTCCAAGTATCAGGCCAACAAGACTAGGAACCCAGGATTGGTAAGCCACAAGTTCACCAAGGAACGAGGGTGTTACACAACCAAGCTCTTTCTGCTTCACAGGAGCAGTCGCAGTGTAGCATCCGGTTTCGAATTTTCTACACCATCCATCCATTACCGTTGTACTTCTCCACATAAATGGGTGTCTCAGTAAGAGTGTCATTTAATCTCTTTCAATCTGAATTTCCTGTATTGTAAAATGGGAATTATATCTTCCTGGCAGTGTTATTGTGAAGTCTAGTGACAATGAATATAGAGCACTTGGAAATATGCGAAGCACTTCACCAACTTTCAGTAAATACTACCCGACATTTTTATTTCCCCGCACAATTCTTACTTGCTGAGTCTGTAAATTTAGGCCGCAGAGATCTTCAAACTCTTGGGAAACGAAGACCCCTTTCGGGACCCCAGCTCGTTCTAGGCCCTGATTATAGATCAATAACCTATTCCTGTGTGGTATCCCCACTGGCAAACGATCACTTAGCGTCTCTTTACCCAATTCCAAATCTCCTTTTCCAGCTAAACTCCAAGTTCCAAGGGCTCCACCCCCACCCTCAGGCCTCAGCGACCTGCACGGCCCTGGCTAGCTCGTCCTTCCAGCTCACAGGCCCCGGCGCTGGCCTGACCTGGGGTCTCATCCCAAACGCAGAGCCACACACACGCCAGGTGACCGGTTCCCGCCGCAGCCCGAGCTCCGCCCAGGAAAGCCCCACCGCGAACAGCTGAGCAACTTTTCAAGAATCCGCTCAGCCTCAGTTTCCCTGGTAGTGGGGCTGGGGTGCACCAGCCGCCAAGGGGCCGGAGCGGGGGCTTGGGGGGGGCGAAGGAAAAGCGAAGTGGCCCGCTACTCCTGGACCCCCCCGCACTAACCTGCAAGTGACTTGCTTGGTGCTCATGGTGGCCGGGCTTGAGGGCCCTTGTCGCGCCACCGTCTCTCGCTCTCGCCGCCGTCGTCGTCGCCTCGGCCCTGCCCATCCCGCGCGGCCGCGTCACGCCGGCGTACACCGCCCCTTCCGTGTGGCATCTCTGTAGCGCCGCCGGAAACCTCACCGCCGTCATAATTGGTTCCGCCTGAGGGCTGAGGCTGGGCGACCTCCCATCCAAGAGCTCCGGGTCAGGCATTTGCGAGCCTCCCGGTCCCCAAGCGGGCCTGGTTGGGGACCTACTCTTCCCAGTCTTATTCCTGTTGTCGGTTTGTACCGGCTTGCCCTGTGTCGGGTCCTTAGAAACGCCTTACACCTCAGGAGGCCAAGCTCCCACCCCTCCAATGCGCGCGTAAATTACAAATATGCCTTAGAACCCAAACTTGCACTCCCTAGACCCCCATCTCAGGCCCTGCCTCGACTGTTCCCGCCAGGCCAGACCTCGACTCCCACTTAAGGAATTCCTTAGCTCCCTCCCATTTGCTCTCTTCCAAGATATCTACTCCCACCCCAGATTTTCCATTCCGCTCCCCCCCCCCCCCCCCCCCCCCCCCCGCCCCCGGCTTTTCGTCTTCCGTTTCCTATGGTGGAAACCCCCAAAGATATTTGTGACACTTTCCTCTGGTTCTCTGTATCTGCAGATCCTGCTCCCACACCTCTCTCCAGTGCATCTTCTTGATGTGGACATGTTGGGGTTTCCGGAGTGAATGGTCAAGAAAGAATTCTTGAGACATCTTTGGTGCAAAAAGGGTGGTTTTATTAAAGCTTGGGGACAGGACCCATGGGCAGAAAGAGCTGCTCGAGGATCATGAGGAGTGACTATGTACCTTCAAGTTAGGAGGGAGTTAGGGATAGTGTAAGTGTCTAAGGAATTTGGAAGCAAGGTTTCCAGGACCTTGAGGGGCTAGCTATGAGGAAAAGGTCATTTACTTCTGTCTAGTAAAACCTTAGTCATGACACCTTTTGGATGTGTATCAGTGGGCAATATGTTTGGAGGATGATTGCTAACATATACCTTGGGGGGTAGAAATAAAGGAAGTTTCCAAAGGAATATTTAGATGTTAAAGGAGACTCACAGGATCCTGGAGGAGCGGGATAATGTTAAGCTAAGATGGCCTTTTGCCCTTTGCAAAGTATTAACATCAAGGCAGTTGAGTTCCTAGAGGAAGGTCTCTTGGCCTATCTCAAGAACTTGTAAATGGGCTGTAAGTTGTAAGGAAATTTAATTTTTTTCTTTTGCTTTTGTTCTACACATCACTCCATTTCCATCCTCATGGTTCTGAAAGGGAGGGCCTATGCACCCCCCCCCCACTCCATCTTGTTCTGAGTCCTTCACCTTGACCACGCCTCCTCCCCTTGAGTAACCTCCCGCTCACCTGCCTAACAGGACTCGGACCCTTCCCCAGCCAATGGGCTGAGGCCACAGCCATTACCTCACCAACTGCCCCAGGCCCCAATAAAACCTTTGTTCTTTTGAAACTCGCTCTTTCTCCCCAGTATCTCACCGCTGTGGCTGTGTCGGTGCAGGTAGGGGATTGAGCTCGAGGTAGGTGAATAAAGGCTCTTTGCTTTTGCATCGGACTCGGCTCCCTGGTGGTCTTTGGGGATCATGAATTGTGGGCATAACAGTTCCAGTCCAAGCAACCATTATTTCTTGTCTAGACCTGTGCCATAGCCTCTTACCTGCTTTTCCTCCTTCTGCTCCTACCCTCTCCCAGTAAGTTATCACCCAAAACATATTTTTTAAAACATAAATAGGATCATGTCACTCACCTTTAACCCTTTCAATGGTTTCCCATTGCTTTAAAAAATTTTTTCTTTTTAAAAATTTTAAACATTGAGATATAACAGACTAAAATGTACAAAACACACCTATGCCTCTATGAATTTTTTTACATGGGTGTACACTCATGAATTCATCACTAGATCAAGATGAAGAACATTATCTATACCCTAGACGGCTCACTTATGCCCCTTCCCAGTCAATACCTCCTAAAGGTAACTGTTCTCACCTATCACACAAATTAGTTTTAATTGTTCTTGACCTTGATATAAATGGTATAATTCAATATGTACTCTTTTGTCGTGTCTTCTTTTGACCAATATTATGTCTATTTGATCTATCTGTACTATTGTATATAGCCATATGTTATTCTTTTACTTTGCTGTAAAAATAGTAAATCTTCCAATTAATAAACATGGCATATACTTCCAATTACTTGGAACTTCTGAAATTCTTTCAGAAATATAGGGAGTATATTGGAAAATTTATAGTTTTCAGTGTATAAGTATTCAACAACCTTTATTAGATTTACTCCTAGGTATCTAGACGAATTTTTTTTATACTATTGTAAAAGGTATTTTTTAAAATGTCCTAATAATTTGTTGCTTTCTCCATGGTAAATTCATGTATTAATTTTACTGGGCTGTTTGTTCATTGTTTTGGATTTTCTACACACACAATGAAGCCATCAGCAAATAATAACAATTTTCAATCTTTATATCTTGTTTTTTTGTTTTGTTCTGTTTTGTTTTTGCCTTTAGTGCACCACTGAGTGCACTTGGTACACCTTCAGTGTAATTTTAAATAGAAGAGGTAATAGTGGACATCCTTATCCTTTTCCTGAATTCTGGGAAAGTATTTAATATTTCACTATTAATTAAAATGTTAGCCTAAGGGTTTTGAAGCCATTATCAAATTAAGGAAGTTCTTTCTCTTTCGAGTTTTCTTAAAATCATGTCTGTTTTTTAAATCAAATCCTTTTTTCCCCCAATCTATTGAGAAAACCATATTGTTTTATCCTTTCTTCTCTTAATGTGTTAAATTATATTGATTGATTTTTTAAATGTTAAACCAACCTTGAATTCCTCAGACATACCCCCCTTGGCATATTATTCCTTCTTTAAATCATCAGATTTTGTTTATTTATTTATTATTTATTTATAATATTGTGTTTAGGTGTGTTGAGAGATAATAATATTGTGTTTAGGTGTGTTGGTCTGTAGTGTTCCTTTCCAGTAATGTCCATGTGAGGTTTTGATATTTGAACTAAGCATAAAATGAATTTGGATACCTCACTCTTTTCTCATCTCTAGAAAAGTCTGTGTAATATAATTTTTAACTTTTTCCTTTAATATTTGGAAAAATTTACTACTGAAGCCATCTCAGTTTATAGGAAGGTTTTTAATTAAAGATTTAATTGCTGTATTACATATAGGACTCCAGATTTTCTCTTTGTGTGGCAGGTTTGGAAAGTTCTCTTCCCTCTGCCCCCAAATAAATTAGTCCATTTCATCTAAATTGTTGAATTTATTGTCATGGAGTTGTTCATATCTTCTTTTTTTTTTTAATTTTTTTTTCAATGTTTATTTATTTTTGGGACAGAGAGAGACAGAACATGAACGGGGGAGGGGCAGAGAGAGAGGGAGACACAGAATCGGAAACAGGCTCCAGGCTCTGAGCCATCAGCCCAGAGCCCAATGCGGGGCTCGAACTCACGGACCGCGAGATCGTGACCTGGCTGAAGTCAGACGCTTAACCAACTGCGCCACCCAGGCGCCCCATATCTTCTTTTTTAAAGTGTCCATTGGATCTGTAAGAATGTCGCCTTTTCACTATTGATATTACTATTAATGTTTTATCTCTTAAAAATCAGACTATTTACCAATTTTGTTAATCTTTTCAATAAGCAAACTTTTGACCTTGTTCATTTTGACTATTGTACATGTGTTTTCTATTTCACTGATTTCTGCTTATATCTTGACTATTTCCTTTTTCTGTGTTCTTTGAATTCAAATTGCTCATTTTCTACCTTCTTCAGATGGAAGTTTAGATTACAAATTTTCAAAAGTTCTTCTTTTTTATGTATTTAAAGCTATAATATTCCCTCTAAGCAACTTTTAGTAGTGTTCCACAAGTTTTTATGTCATCTTTTCCTTACCATTTGGTTCAAATAACTTTCTAATTTCCATGGTTTATTCCTTGACCCATAAGTTATTTAGAAGTGTGTAATTTAATTTCTAAACTACTGAGGATTTTCTAGTTATCTTTTTCTTATTGATTCATATTCATTTCTAGTATTACCCCACTGTGGAATTGTCTTTTCTTCTTTAACTTTGGTCATTATTTGAGTTATACATTTTGAAGCTGTTTTTTAGGTTCAAACAAATAAATGTAAGATTGCTCTATCTTCTGTTTTGCCAACACGTTACTAAGAAATGTCCTGTTTTCTGCTAGTTGCACATGTGAATCAGGACAGTGCTATATCAGTATTCACTACACTGTATGTGAGACATACAGTGCCTGTAAGACATGTCTAAAAAAGGTGTTCTAAGAATGCTAGTTGTTTGTTGCATCAGGATAATGTTTTCAGTGAAAGAATGTGTTGACCACACAGTGGTGCATGTAATACACTATAAAGATAAATGTATAAAAGCTGTTTCTGAGAGCGCTAATTTAAAAAGGAAATGCCTAGAAATTCTTGTCTTAAAGTATACTTTGATATTAACATAATCATATCAACTTACTTTCAGATAGCATTTGTATGGTATATCTTTTTCCATCCTTTTATTTTCAACTTACCAGGTGTTTTTATATTTACACTGTATTTCTTATAAATGGTATATAGTTGATTTTCAAGCTTGATAATCTGTTTTTGAATTAGATTACTTAGTCCATTTACATTAAATGTAATATACTTAGATTTAAATCTACCATCTTGCTATTAATTTTCCATTTATATCATCTGTTATTTATTCTTTACTTTTCCTTTCTTGTATTCCTTTGGACTAGTATTTTCCATTATTCCATATTTTTCTTCATTGGTTGCACACTTGAAAAAAAATTTTGGTTGGGGAGGTGGTGCCTGGGTAGCTCAGTGGTTAAGTGTTGGACTTTGACTCAGGTCATGATCTCATGATTCATGAGTTCAAACTCCACCTGGGTCTCTGTGCTGACAGTTCAGAGCCTGGAGCCTGCTTCAGATTCTGTGTCTCCTTCTCTCTCTCAAAAATAAAT